CTTCACAGTTCCATAAGAACAGCAAGGCCAGGCACAGTGGCTCAGTCCTGTAATCCCAGCACTTTGGAAGGCAGAGGAGGGAGAATCACTTGAACCCAGGAATTCAAGCCCAGCCTGGGCAACATAGCAAGACCCCATCTCTACTAAAAATTTAAAAAATATTAGTCAGGCTTGGTGGCTCACACCTGTAATCCCAGCTGCACAGGAGGCTGAGACGGAAGGATGGCTTGAGTCCAGGAAATCAGGGCAGCACTGAGCTATGATTGTGCTTCTGCACTCCAGCCTGGGTGACAGAGTGATATCCTGTCTCAAAGAAAAAAATAAATAAACAAAAAGAACAGCTAAGCAAACCACCTATGATACACACTGAAAAACTCAAGTTTTCTGCAAAATGACGAGATCACACACCTTGAGTATAGTTGTTAGCATACTGGGTAGTTAAACAAGTGAGCTAACTTCAGAGTGACAGCTGACTTCACTAACAGCCTTCTAAGATGGTTCGTGTCTGTACTTAGGGTGACAAAGGCGCCCCGGGGAGAGCAGGCCTGTATGGCGAGATCGGCCCGACCGGTGATTTCGGTGAGTGTTGCCCGTCCAGTGAAAACAGGGAGTCCACGATTCAGAGCTCTCTGAGCACGTGAGCCAGTATCAGACCTGCAAGTGCTGTTAGGTATTTTAAAGCAAATTATTCTTGTTAGGAATATAACAAAATAGAAGTTGGAAAACTCACAGCCTCCCAGTGGAAAGCCCTGTTCTTAGCCATCTTCTTTGCATTTAACAGGTGACATTGGGGACACTATAAATTTACCAGGAAGACCAGGCCTGAAGGGGGAGCAGGGCACCGCTGGAATCCCAGGTACACGAGTTATTTTCCGTGTCTTCATCTTCAACAGCAACCCTGAGCCTTCGTCTAGGAGCCCGACTTGCCAAACAGATCAAATTTGGTAACAACCAGAAAGCACTTGATAGGGAATGAGGTTTTCAAGCCCAATGTGCAAGAAAGACCGTCAGTTTTAATTAAGTTAAATCTGAAGGCAAAATCAAGACGCCTTTCTCTCTCTGTGTGTCTCTCGTTGATACTGAAAATAGCCAGAATGGACACTCGGTGAATGAGAGTCACTGCAGCCCGTAAAGTGTAACTGGTGAAAATCCAACTAGCACCCTGGCTCCCGGAACACCTGAGGGGGTGCAGCAGGTGGTCGCTGAGCCGAGCTTCTCAGAAACAGCGAAGGGTCCAGGAAAGGGGGAGTGGCAGTCAGGCCATCGCTTAAGAGAGTTACGGAGGCAGGTGACCAGCCCGAGCGAGCTGGGAGGGGCTGGGATGGCACAGTGGCTCCCTTCCCTTCTGCGCATCACTGAGGTTCCACTCCTAAATTCCTGCCTGCAGTGACGTCTCAAGGGGCCTGTGATAGTTTTCTTCTTTCTGGGGATTTTCGTTTGGGGGGACCCCACACTGCTCAAGTTGCTGGAGCCCCAGGTGTTTGCAGGGCTGGCCCTGGTGGGAGAAAAGGAGTCTGTCCACGGTTGACCAGTGGGGAGACTGCTGGGCTAGTTCTTTGTCTAGAAATTGCTCTGGAATGCAAAGATGTGTTCGGTTGAGCACAGGATCAGAGAACTGCCGCTGGGAAATGGGCGCCCCTGTTTACCAGCCCTCCCGGGCTCCTTTGTTATCTGTGACCTGGGCTCCCAGTGGCTTCCTCCTGAGTAACTGGGGAGCTCTGTGCTGCTAAGCCATCCAACGCTTGGCTGGCTGCGTCTCCCACCCTAGGCCATCGCTCTGGCCATTTGGTTTATAAAGACAGAAACGTGGACCATCATTACCATGCGTCTCTAATGATGCCTTCACGTGTTCAACTGAAAATGTGTCAGGGAAGAAACACTACCCCCACCCAAGAATTATTTTTGGTGTTACCCTTTGAACATTTTGGTTTTTGTTAGACTCTGGGGCCAGAAAGGCTTTAGAGTGGAGCCTCCCCTATGTCCATCACCAGGAGACAGCATCTCAGAGCTGCGGTCCCACAGTGGAAGCGTGGGGCCAGCTGTGCCCATCGTCCCTGGGGGTGTCCTGTTTTCCCTAAGACAGTGAGGGGTGCATGGGTGCTGCCTTGAAGGCTGGCTAGTGCAGGCTCAGAGGGAGGAACTAGGTTAAAAATCAGCTGAGGAAGGAGCACGGTTAGATGCCTCTCTCCATTCCTGGAGGAGCAGCAGTGTGGTTCTGTACATACTAGAGCTGGGGTTCCCTGGAGCCCACAGGGGTGCGGTGTCTGTTCCAACAGCATGTCTGTGGTTGCAGGTCTGAAGGGATTCTTTGGAGAGAAGGGAACAGAAGGTGACATCGGCTTCCCTGGGATAACAGGCGTGACTGGAGTCCAAGGCCCTCCTGGGCTTAAAGGACAAACAGGTAAAATCTCCCACAGCCACACAGCCTTCCTCAGGCGGGCCCTCCAGAGACCCCAGAACAAAGGCGGCCAATGTTGTCAATTTCCTCCAATCACACCCAACCCTGGAAACTCACTCATGCCTGCTGCCCGCTTAGGAGCCTTCCTCAGGGCTGACGGCGTGGCGAGAAACAACCACCTGGGCTGGGGGGAGACCTGAGAACTGGAGAGAAGCATGGGGGTGAATGAGAAGTGCCTTTTCGGCCGAGCCTCTGTTTATCATATAGAAGCCGACAGTTTGTAAGGGATCCCTTTGCTTGCGTTGAATACGCAGAACCCCCTAAGAACATCCTCGGTTAGAGGAGAGCGGACAGTGGGCTGGCTTCCCACGGTGTTGCTGCTGCTCCTGGCTGTGTTTACTCAGCACCGGGGAACGCCAGGAGGCTCATATCTCTAGGCTCTGCCTCGGGGTCCTCTCCAGACGTCTATTTGGATAATAGGGCAAGAATTAAAACGACACGCTATTTTCTCTCTGGCAAGGCTGAGCAAATCCTACTGAATTTGTTTGTGGGGTCTAAGACCACCTGCATCCCCAGCTTGAGGGACAGGTCTAATCTCTCCTCCAACTGGCACCGCAGCCTTTCCAGCCCTCAGCCCCTCCCAGAGCAGCTGCCCCTTCTGCCAGGACCTCACCAGGCAGTGCCCAAGGTGTCCTGTGTGCTCAGACTTACTGCTGTGTTCACTCCCAGGCTTTCCAGGGCTAACTGGGCCTCCAGGGTCGCAGGGAGAGCCGGGGCGGATTGGACTGCCTGGTGGCAAAGGAGATGATGGCTGGCCGGGAATTGCAGGCTTACCAGGTAAGGCCACGCAAAACACACGGTCACCCAGACCCAGAGTCGTGAGCTGTGCAGGAGGCACCGCTGAGCAGGCCAGCCTCTCGCAGGGTGACTTCGAAGGCCCATGTGAGAGCAAAGGCAGGTTTGCTGTGGCTTGCGGTGGTCTGCACCAACATAGCAGCACAGGGTATGCTGGTGCCCCCAGCGACTGGGAATCAAGCCAGACGCATAAATCTGCCCAGGACTTCACCTCCCAGAAGGATGAATGAAAGCCTCCCAGAGAGGCTTCAGGGTCCACTTGTCATCGCCACACAGGGATGCACAGCAAGATCAGGGTGCAGGAGCAGCCTCAGTGTCCCACTGTGCCGCACAGGCCGCCCCGGGGCCCCCTTACAGCCCCCTTGCAACCCCGAGATGGGCCACCCTGCCATGCTTACTGCCCACGTCACAGAAGGAATTGCCACCCGTTTGCTGTGTCCTGCTTTAGAAATATTTACCCTCAGAAATCCAGAGGGAATGGAAATGACACCGGGCTATTTGTTCCAAGCAGCTTTTACAAACCAAACATACAACAGTGGCCAGGCGTCAAGAAGAGGTATGGGACATGTCACCCCTCCCCAGGCCCCTTCTGGCCTGGTGAGTCTGTTAAAAAGATTCCATGAAGACAGTGTCCCAGTTCAGTGGTTTTCCTAGGTAACATAAGAGTAGTTAGTTTACATGTCGTGTAAGTTGAGCATATGGCTTAGCTGCTTCCTATTTGTGGGGCTTTAGCAGGACTGTATGGGTGACGGTACCAGGTGACAGTTTCAGAGCCAACAGAACACATCTGAGTTATCTTGAGGGTTTCTCCCACCCGGAACTCCCTGTGCCATCCTACACGTGAAATAACAATGAGTGACACCCTCACAGGTTTTCCGGGACTCCGTGGGATCCGCGGCTTACACGGCTTGCCAGGCACCAAAGGCTTTCCAGGATCCCCAGGTACTCTGTGCTGAGTCTGCCCTCCAGACTTCAGGGAAAGGAGGGTCTCAGAGAGCTGGGTGGGCTTCCTGAAGTGCTATGTGATGGGCCCTGAGAGGCGGGTCCGGGCCCTGTGGTCCTGTACGCTGCTAAGATGTGATCCCTAAGAATCGGTTTCTCAAGCCAGTTGCTGTGTTGAATGGACCCATCAGGCTTTTAGACAGAAAGAGAAATAGAGTCCTTGCTTTTCCGGCAGCACTGTGTGGAGGGTGGGACGCACCTGCACCCCTCAGGCGTCCAGAGTATTCGCTCTGCCCAGTGTGTGTCTGTGATCTTTCATTTCATTGGCATAAGAAAGCCCGCGGTCTCCACCTACCCCGGGGCAGTTCTGATGCTGGAGACAGTGATAGTGCTGAGTCTGTGGGCACCCACAGGCTGGGAGCCAAAAACAACCGAAATGGGTTTCCTCCTAGTTCTGGAGGCCAGAGGCCAGAGGCCAGAGGCTGGAGGCTGGGATCGCATGCCTGCGTGGTCGGGTTCTGGGAGGACCACGTCCTGGCTGCTCATTGTGTCCTCACAGGAGAGAGCACCCGCTCTCCCCTGTCACTTCTTATAAGGGCAGTAACCCCATCTTGGGGCCCCACCCTCATGACCTTACGGCGTAACCCTAATTACCTCCCAAAGGCCCCCCCTTCAAATGCCATCACACTGGAGTTAGGGCTTCCACTTATGAACTTTGGGGCTGGGGAGAATGACACCATCAGTCCACAGCAATGGCGAACCAAGGGCTTCTTACTCCACAGGAAAAAGAAACTGACACGTTTCATAGCATTTTCTGGCTTATTTTATAAACTATTGTAGCACATTTTTTTCCCTGAAGGGGATATAAAGCCTCATTATTTCTAACAACCAATGGCAGGATAAGGTTTCCATCCTGAGCCCTTCCAGGATATAATAACAGCAGCTGGATGTCGATTTATTCCATCACAAGGATCATCAGGCTTTCCCACAGAAGGCCTCCCTTTAACCCTGTCCTCCCCAAGAAGCTGAGATAGCAATAGTACAGGAAGGCTTGGCAGCTTGTTGAAACTTCTTTATTTTAAATTCAGCTATTTTCACCCTAAATCTTAATGTCCTTCTCTTTTCATTTAATTTTGTAATCTATTATAGGACTAATAAAATAACATTTGAAGGACATCAGGCACTAAGTGGGGAATCATTTTATTATTGATTGTGTCTTTTTTTCAAAAGATAACCTTGTTTTCTTTTCAATGTATACAAATTATTTATGTTCAGTGGAGAAAAAAAATTAACACATTTAAACACATTTAAAAATTAACACATTTAAGAGGGAGAAAAGCACCCATAATCCTAAAGCTGCTTTTAGAACGTGCTCTTTGTAGACGTTTCATATAACCAAATATTGCTCTGTCTACAGGTGAATTTGTATGTGTGTATATGACATGTAAATTCACGCACTCCTGCGTCATTAACACTCCGTTCCAGTTCCAATGGGCAAGTGGCAGGAGATCCTTGTCAAGTTGTCTTGCTGTTTCCTGCCACGATGGCGATGAACACCTGTTACGAGAACGGGGAAGACTTTAGACAGTGTTTACTTTGAAAACATAATTAAGCATAGCCTGAAGAGCAGCCCCCAGGAGCCAGGAGGCCCGGGACGGGTCTCAGCTCCCTGACCCACTGTTTCTGTGAAATTGGACCCTCTGATGGGCCTCGATCCTCTTACCCATAAAGCCAAGGGCTTCCACTGTGATCTCTGTGAGATCCCTTCCAAATCTCAGCTCCTGCGACCTGGAGGCCATACACTGTAATGCAAGCTGAAACCGCCGTGGCTGCCTCTGTTTCTCTGCTTTCGAGGCACCCCGAGCTGTTCTTTCCCTTAGGAAAGTCAGCTGTATGGTTGGAAACACCGACCTCAGCTGCTGTTATAACTCTTCCACAGGTGCCGACATCCACGGAGACCCAGGCTTCCCAGGCCCTCCTGGGGACAGAGGTGACCCAGGAGACGCCAACACCCTTCCAGGCCCTGTGGGAGTCCCAGGACAGAAAGGAGAGCAAGGAGCTCCAGGTGAGGCCGCACATTCCAAAGCCAACATTGCCGTCCCCATAACCAGAACCCACCCAGAGGGGGGGCCATGGAGTGTCTGTGGGGTGGGAGAGGCTGCTCAGAAGTGCAGGAAAGAGCTGGTTTTTCCGGGGAGGACTACCTGTTGCAGAACCTGCCAGCTAGTCTTAGTTTGTGAGGCAATTTATTTCTTCCCGTCTGTGTTGGTGAGGCACTGACCAGCCATCGCAAGGAGTCACTGATAAGCTCCCTGGCCTAGAGACCCCGTCAGATCCCTCCGTGTGCCCGGGGCACTGGCACAGGCCTTGCCATAACAAGCACTCTGGGTAGTGAATGCGCGAATAAATAAATGCATTAAACCTCCCAGCAGAGCCACGCTGAACCATACTTGGGTAGGAAATAATCAGAAACCTGTCTTCCCACCCCATAGCCTCCCTGCTTACCAGTCAAGGTGGGCTGAAGTCTAAATGGCAGTGAGAAGCATTCCTAAATAAAAACAGAAACCAGGACCTTCCTGGGAGCCAGTGTGCTAAGCGTGTTGTGGTCTCATTGTGCATGATCCCACAGCCCCAGAGTCTGTTTCTGAGATCAGTGGGCCTCTCCCCCACCCCACCCACCTCACCAGCCCGACCAGGTGCATCTCCTGGCTCAGGTATGGGAGCGGGGCAGCACACCTGGACGGACAGTCTGGGCACCCTGGGCTCCATGGTGGAAACAAAAACTCTGGCTTCCCTGCACAAAAGCCTGAGTTTTTCTAGTGCCAACTCCCCATGAAGCTAGAACCAGACACCCACAGGAAAGGAAGTCAGAACCAAGGAGGCCAGCAACCCTGACTTTTCCTGGGGTGCAGGGATATCTCAAGGCTTGCAGATCACATCTGACTCTCCAGGATCTGCTGCCTGCCCTCTCCCCTCATCAAGAGCTAGAAACTCCGGAATCCCCTAGCCTCAGAACTCCACAGCACTGATCTGAAGATAGGAGAAAGAGGAGGGGTGCTGCCAACAGGAGCCAGACTATCCTGGGAGGCTGCGTGGTGCTGCCAGAGCCCTAGTCAGGGTGAGGATCCAGGACAGTACACCAGCACAGCCTCAGCCAGGGATGGGGATCTAGGGTCAGTCCACCAACACAACCTCAGTCAGAGTTGAGGATCTAGGGTCAGTCCACCAGCACAGCCTCAGTCAGGGATGAGGGTCTATGGTCAGTTCACCAGCACAACCTCAGTCAGGGATGAGGATCTAGGGTCAGTCCACCAGCACAACCTCAGTCAGGGATGAGGATCTAGGGTCAGTCCACCAGCACAGCCTCAGTCAGAGTTGAGGATCTAGGGTCAGTCCACCAGCACAGCCTCAGTCAGAGTTGCAGATCTAGGGTCAGTCCACTAGCACAGCCTCAGTCAGCGGTGAGGATCTATGGTCAGTCCACCAGCACAGCCTCAGTCAGGGATGAGGATCTAGGGTCAGCGCACTAGCACAAGCTCCACTCAGGAGTGAGAATCTAAGGACAGTCCATCAGCACAGCCTCAGTCAGGGGTAAGGATCTAGGACAGTCCACCAGCATAACCTCTGCTAGGGATGAGGATCTAGGGTCAGCGCACCAGCAGAAGCTCCACCCAGGAGTGAGGATCTAAGGTGACTCCACCAGCACAGCCTCAGTCAGGGGTAAGGATCTAGGTCAATCCACCAGCACAGCCTCACTCAGGGGTTAGGATCTAGGTCAGTACACCAGCACAGCTTCAACCAGGATTAAGGGTCTAGGGTCAGTCCACCAGCACAACCTCCACTCAGGACTGAGGATCTAGGTCAGTCCACCAGCACAACCTCCACTCAGGACTGAGGATCTAGGTCAGTCCACCAGCACAACCTCCACTCAGGACTGAGGATCTAGGTCAGTCCACCAGCACAGCCTCAGTCAAGGGTGACGATCTAGGGTCAGTCCACTAGCATAAGCCTCCCAGGAGCCCAGCAGTAGAGTTGACCATGCCCATGACCTTTAAATCAGCACCTGTTCGGTTCTTGTTCTGCATCTCACATGCGCCATATTTTCACCATGTGACCTTGGCCATGGTATTGAATGTCTCTGGCGTTGTCTGTAAAATGAGAATAAAAATGTGCTTGTGAGTGTTGGGAGGATACAATGAGATACTACAGGTAAAGCTCTTGCACACAGGAGGCCAGCAATAAATGTCTGCTATTTTTAAAGGCCTCGAAACAGCATTGTTTTCAGAGTGTCATGATGATCACTTTACCAGTCTGTCACCTGAAAGCCATCTGGGAACTCAGCAATGGGGAAGACTTGGCCAGGAGATGTGGAGAGGAGATCCGGCACAGGGAGGGGTGGAGGAAACTGAGATGGGATTTCGACAGGGTGCACACAGTGGGCCGTAGGCGGGGGTCACAGAGCACAGCTGCTGGCATTTCGCATGACCATGCATTTTTAAAGTTTGATTCACACAGCATGATGTTCAGGCCCTGTACTTGACCACAAAAAAAAATTAAGATTTTCATCCCCAAGGGCAGAAATTTACCTCATTTATTTTCCACTTACACCTCAGCAAAATGCTTGTCCCTGAGTGAGTGCTCAACAAATACTTGTTGGAGAAGAATATTGTGAAATTGTAGGATAATTTTCTGACATCAGTGGAGAGTTATATGTAGCTCGGAACACCCCTAAGGTAACATTGATGGCCTTATTACACATTTGATCTGTGTGGGACCCATTTATCTAAACTCTATGTGACCTCCTGTGGCACTCCCTGCATTCCATCCCAGGGACCTGGACGGTGTCCCCGGCTTCCAAGCCACCGTGAGGCATATTGACTTTTGTAAGCCATGCCCCCACCCTCGACCTGCACGAACATCACAGTGGGCCCATGAGCTGATGACTTCAGAGCAGGTCCTGGAGACCAGAGCAGACACTGCCCAGTGCCACTGGGCCTTGGCATATGAGGCCACTGCCTCTGGCTAGTGATGAGGGAAAGACGACTTTCCATGATGATGTTCACACACTGATACAATGTCATTCAGGATACACACTCTTCTCTGAAAATATGGGAATAATTTGAATCCATTATCTTCCTTTGCATGAGTTGCATCTCATTTGTGTTAGTTCATTCTCATGCTGCTTTGAAGAAATACCAGAGACTGGGTAATTTATAAAGGAAAGAGGTTTAATTGACTGACAGTTCTGCATGGCTGGGGAGGCCTCAGGAAACTTACAATCATGGCAGAGGGGGAAGCAAACACGTCCTTCTTCACTAGCAGTAGGAGAGAGAAGTGCCAAGTAAAGGGTGGGGGGAAGCCCCTTATAAAACCATCGGATCTCGTGGGAACTCACTATCAGGAGAACAGCATGACGATAGCCACCCACATGATTCAATTACTTCCCACCAGATCCCTCCTACGACATGTGTGGATTATGGAAACTAGAAGTCAAGATGAGATTTGGGTGGGGATACAGCCAAACCATATCACAGTTCACTGAAGCCAGAATTTGCAACCTCACCTGTGTCTGCAGCTGACATTCAAGCATCAGTTCCTGATTTGGCCTTGAGTCACGCAACATGGCCCTTCATGGAACCCCTGTTAGCGAGACTTTTTTATGTCAGTACTTAGGACGATCCATGGGGGCTACTGAGAAATCTTGATGGTTTTCATCTAGATTCCAGCAAACTGACTCATGTTTGCTAAATGTTCTCATTAACAGAGTCCTCATCACTGCAGTTAAGTTAATTATGTTTTCGTGGGAATCTGCCAGTCTGGGGATTGCACTGGATCATCTAACTCAGGAGTCTGCCATTATTTACTGACCCTCACCATCTGTTTCGGGGAGTTTGTGACAATAGCTAGAAGCAGTTCAATTGGTGTCATTTTATATCAAACCACAGATGGTGGCTCACTCATGCCCTCAGGGCTAATGAACCCACTTGCGTGTTGTCTGTGATTTGTGAGACAAGCCTCACCTCTCTCAATATTTCTCCTGCTGTTTGTTTTGTCCTACTTGGAAGCACGCATGAATGGAATCCTTTCCCATGGGATGGATAATGGATACCAGGATCTTCCAAAGGGAAAATCTCTTCCTGCTACTGATGGGTATAGATTAGTCATAAAGCCAAAGGGGAAACAGAAAACCACTGTTGCTACGTTTTCTCATTTTTATAGATTTGCACTGTTTGGCCCAGCTCACTCCTGCAGAGCGGAAATGATGCCCTCCTTGCCCACTTGGACATTCGGACATTTTGCAGGGTTCTAATACTAATGTTGGTCCCCAGCCCTTCAGGAAAAACAAAAGACTGCAGGTGGTTAGGAGAGAAAGTAGACTTAATCCGCCCAGACTCAGGTCCACACTGATTTCTACCCACCACTGCCCTACAGCACACAAAGCTCCATTAGTGTCTTGTTGGCTGACAGCACAGGAAGGAGTGGAATTTCCACAGATTTCCTTATGTGGCCATTTCCCTCTTACTCCCCTATTAGTGCCAAAGAGCTCCAATCTTTGACCCAAACACTGTTGGTTCTCGTTATTCACCGTAGTTATGTTCTGAAGTCACCAAGAACCCTGACTTTGTGAATACTGAACCATTGCTCCTAGGGGAAATACAAGGCTAGGTTCCTGCAAGCCTCTGCTCACAAGATGTTTATCAGTGATCAATATGTAACCTGGTTTTCTGTGTAACGGCACCTCGTTTAGTGTGGATTGCTGATTCATGAACACTCAACATGCACTCTCACTCGTGCCTGAACGCAGCTTCTCTTACATACCTGTTTCTCCATAAGGGACTTCACAGCCTCCTTGCACTTACCAACACTGGGCTGCACTTCAACACAATGCATAGGGGGCATCTGAAACGGCAAAATCACCAGCATAAAGCACGACAATGTGGAAAACAGGGCACTACAGAGACCAAGACAAGGACATGTGTGTACAGTGTGAGCTGCAGCGAGAAGGCAGGAGTGTCACCTTGCTGGACCTCAGCTGGGACTCACTTTACCTCTGTGTGTAACTGTGAATGCCAGTGTTTATTTGGGGGGGACTCCAAGTGAGTTTTAGTGAGCAGACAAGTTGGAACATACAGAATCTGTGAATAATGAGGACCCACTTTGTCCAAGCTGGGATCCAAGGCACTGGAGGACAGCCACAGGGAGAGTTGACCATACTGATGTCAATCGCAAGCTTCATTTGCAGCAGTTTTCAACCTTCCATCCATCACGTGTGCTGACCACTGTCCACATGTATCAGGATCAGAGTCTGAGCGGCTGTGCCACGCCTGGGGCTGAGGCTCCATCTAAGCATGATCGGGCAGTGCCTTGGGGAAGTGGAGCACAGGCAGAAGGATCCCAGTGGAGGGCTCCTCACAGGAGAAAGGCTGGAGTTGGGGGAGGGGTTCACAGCCCTTGCCTCCCAAACCCCACCCTGAGAGCCTCCCCAGCCCCATCATGAGATGATCTTTGGCCTGAGGGCGCCTCCCATCACTGTCTCACTCACTAGGCTCTGGTCCACCGCAGGTGATGGTGTGGAGGGAAAACAGTAGATTTGAAAAGTTGGGTGCTAATGCTGAAAATAATGTCTTCTGTTTTCATCCTAAGGAGAACGAGGCCCACCTGGGAGTCCAGGACTTCAGGGGTTCCCTGGCATCACGCCCCCTTCCAACATCTCTGGGGCACCTGGTGACAAAGGGGCGCCAGGGATATTTGGCCTGAAAGGTAAGCAGGACTTATGCATCTGTGCTTCGACATCTCTAGGGGCAGGAGCCGGCAATGGCCCACTTAATCTAGGGGGAGAACAGACATTCATTTCCACACCGTGCCCAGACTCCGGTCAAAGGGGCAGGGGCCATCATGGTCCTCCGGTGTCATTTCCATCACCTGTACGACCTGGTCCCCGGGAAGCCGAGACACAGGCCATGTCATTTACTTGCTGTAATAGCAGATATTCAAACTGCAGGGGACTCAGAAATATGCAATATGAACGGCTTTCTTCTTCCTCACTGTATTGTGTTTAGACAAATATTAAATTTAATTTGCATATCCTAATGACAAATGAGCTGAATATTGGAAAGAGATGGCGTAAAGATGAAGCCACCCATCAAACAAGCATTTGTGCGCCAGGGTTCACAGCAGCACTATTCACAAGCTCGAAGTGCTGAAAGTAACCCCAGTGTCCATCGACGGAGGAATTAAGAAGCAAAATGCAGTCAGTACGCACCTAGCACAAGAGGAGTCCGTCTTTTTTGTTTGGTTGTTTTCTTGTTTTTTTGTTTTTTTGGAACAGTCTTGCTCTGTTGTGCCCAGGCTGGAGTGCAGTGGCACGATCTCAGCTTGCTGCAATCTCCGCCTCCTGGGTTCAAGGAATTCTCCTGCCTCAGCCTCCCGAGTAGCTGGGATTATAGGTGCCCACCACCACGCCCGGCTGGTTTTTGTATTTTTAGTAGAGACAGGGTTTCACCATGTTGGCCAGGCTGGTCTCAAACTCTTGACCTCAAGCGATCCTCTCACCTCGGCCTTCCAAAGTGCTGGGATGACAGGTGTGAGCCATGGCGCCTAGCCTTTATTCAGTCTTAAAAAGAAGGAACTCTTATCACCCGCTGCCACCTAGATGACCCTTGAGGGCATTCTGCTGAGTGAAAGAAACCAGTCACAAAAGGTCAGATCCTGTGATCCCACACATATGAGGCCCCTGAAGTCATCAGATTCATAGAAAGAGAAAGTAGAGTGGTTGTTGCTGAGGGTTGAGGGGAGAGGGCATGGGGAGTGAGTGTATAACGGGGACAGATTTCAGTTTAGGATGAGAAGGTTCTGGAGATAGTCAGTGGTGAAGGTGAATATATTTAATGCCACTGAGCAGTGCACCTAAAAATGATTAAAATGGTAACTTTTATGTTATATGTATTTTATGACAATTTTTTAAACACAAAGACAAAGTCATTCCATGCCACAGACTTGTCAGAGATTGTCCCCTGAATGGGTGACTGAGTACCTGACTGCCCCCAGGGGCCTTGGGGTCCTGTTTAAACCCTCCTTTCTTGTCCCTAATGCCAACAGGTTATCGGGGCCCGCCAGGGCCACCCGGGTCTGCTGCTCTTCCTGGAAGCAAAGGTGACGCAGGGAACCCAGGAGCTCCAGGAACCCCAGGGACCAAAGGATGGGCCGGGGACTCCGGGCCCCAGGGCAGGCCGGGTGTGTTCGGTCTCCCGGGAGAAAAAGGTAACAGTGCCCTAGCCACAGTGAGAGAAGCCCCATCCCCACAGACTTCCGTGTCCCTAACGTCTTGTTTGTGTTGCAGGGCCTAGGGGTGAACAAGGCTTTATGGGGAACACTGGACCGGCCGGTGCGGTGGGCGACAGAGGCCCCAAGGGACCCAAGGGAGACCCAGGATTCCCTGGTAAGTGACCGTCTGCATACCTGCAGAGCTAGTGGCTCAGCCCAGCCTCTCCAGGCTTGGGGACATCCTGAAGGTCAAACGGCCAGGATCCTCTCCAGCATGGGTCACATGTTGTAAAGAGCAGGGAGGAAACCAAGGCTGCGACTCGGATGTTGTCACAGGGCCTTGGTGAATGGAAAGTTTAGTATTCAAACGGCAGGCGCTGAGTCACGGCTCAGGCCCATTTGTGTCTGGCTCATCTCTAGAAAGCACAATTGTCCGGAAGCTCCAAAAGGGGCCTCCCCGGGTGAGAAACGCGGTAGCACTCAGAGCAAGAGAGTGGAATGACCTTGTGTGTTTACTGGGGCCTCTCTGTTTCCCTTCCAGGTGCCCCCGGGATTGTGGGAGCCCCCGGGATTGCAGGAATCCCCCAGAAGATTGCCATCCCACCAGGGACAGTGGGTCCGCAGGGGAGGCGAGGCCCCCCTGGGGCACCAGGGGAGATGGGGCCCCAGGGCCCCCCCGGAGAACCAGGTAGAGTGCTGAGCTGGGGCCTGGAGCCCCTCAGGGCTGCCCGGGCAAGGCCAGGGCCTGCTGGCATTACGTCCTCTTGTGTTCTCTTTGCTGATCGCCAGCTGTGCCAGGCGTGGTCACAGTTTCCAGCCACATTCACACTTCTTTGGTGGCTTGCAGGTTTCCGTGGGGCTCCAGGGAAAGCCGGGCCCCAAGGAAGAGGTGGCGTGTCTGCTGTTCCCGGGTTCCGGGGAGATGAAGGACCCGTAGGCCACCAGGGGCCGATTGGCCAAGAAGGTGAGTGACCAGTGGGGAAGGACCTTCCCAGGTCCTAGTGCTATAGGTCTGACTCACAGACTGTGGTCTGCAGGAAAGGGACACGTGAGAGCCCAGAAAAGCCAGAAATGAGGCGCTGCCCCACCCTCCTGCTCCCAGTCTGAGCATGCTGCTTCACTCCTGTGGGCAGCAGAACACCTATCCCGAGTCCCGGGATAGCCTCCCTCCTTTTCCTGGGACACCTGCAGTGCTGCGGAGTGGGCGGCAGGGATCAGTAGACATCAAGGATCGGGATTAGACAAGTAGCCAAAAACCAACTATTAAAATTTACTAGAGCCACATTGCAAAGCCCTGTCTTACTTTTTTTTGTTGTTTTTTTTTGAGACAGAGTCTCACTCTGCCTCACCCAGGCTGGAGTGCAGTGGCATGATCTCAGCTCACTGCAGCCTCTGCCTCCCAGGTTCAAGCAATTCTCCTGTCTTAGCCTCCCAAGTAGTTGGGACTACAGGCATGTGCCACCACACCCAGCTAACTTTTTTGTTTTTGTAGTTGAGATGGGGTTTCACCATGTTGACCAGGCTGGTCTTGAACTCCTGACCTCGAGTGATCCACCCGCCTCAGCCTCACAAAGTGCTGGGATTACAGGTGTAAGCCACCATGCCCGGTCATCTTAGGTTTTTTTAAATTATTTGCACATATGCAGAATGAAATAGGCCAGAAATAACAGCTATTCATGCAAAAAAAAAAAAAAAAATTCTCAAAATTTCTCTTAACCTGAGCTCAGTTTGAGCCAATGGTCTCAGCATTAAAATTAAAATTAAGGCCAGGCGCGGTGGCTCATGCCTGTAATCCCAGCACTTTGGGAGGCCGAGGCAGGTGGATCACGAGGTCAGGAGATCGAGATCATCCTGGCTTACACAGTGAAACCCCGTCTCTGCTAAAAATACAAAAAATTAGCCGGGCATGGTGGCGGGCGCCTGTAGTCCCAGCTACTTGGGAGGCTGAGGCAGTAGAATGGCCTGAACCTGGGAGGCGGAGTTTGCAGCGAGCTGAGATTGCGCCACTGCACTCCAGCCTGGGCGACAGAGCGAGACTCCGTCTCAAAAAAAAAAAAAAAAAAAAATTAAACATAGGGGCCGGGCGCGGTGACTCACGCCTGTAATCTCAGCACTTTGGGAGGCCGAGGTGGGCGGATCATGAGGTCAGATCGAGACCATCCTGTGCCACTGTACTCTGGCCTGGGTGACAGAGTGAGACTCCATCTCAAAAAAAAAAAAAATTAAACATAGGGAGCATTATTGGTGTCCGAGTCAAAGGCAATAGCAGTCCCCTGCCCCGGGGTCAGATCCACAGCCGGCAAATTATGGGTAGTGTGGTGTGCACCTGAAAACAAATGCCGGCAAATCGGAGCCCGCCCAGGGCAGGAGACAAGCTAGGGACGGCGGAAGGGAAGTGTCCTGGGAGAAAGGGCCATGACCATGGGTGTCCCCTGGAAGGGGAGGGGACAGTGGGAGAAATGTTCACCAGGGACAGCTGAGAAACGTTCACACAGCTGCTTTGCCAGAGGCAGATGAGCCACCCCATGTGCTCCCTGGTAGGAGTTATAGGAGGCGGATCTCAGCTGCGCAGAGAAAGAACATTCTAACCCAGGATGTGGTCAAGTGCGCGATCAGCGTGGCCTGCAATGAGCCACGTCTCCTGGAAGTGTCCAGCGGAGGGAGGCCACTGCTGGGGGTGGGGGCTGGCCTGCGATACTCCTCTGGTCCTTTATAGAAAGGACCACTCCTCTGTGCCCAGTGCCCTCATTGCCATCATTTCATGCTGCTAAGCACAAAGTGTAGATGAAATCCTTCCCAACAGTCTCCTGATCTCAACAGACAGTGCCAACATCTGGGGAAGGAAAGCAACGGTGCTAGGCACACCTGGAAACTGCCCTGCACCGCTGGGTCCCCAGGTTTCTGTGGGGCGGCTGTAAAGGGGGCTGCTCTCTCTCTCTTTCTCGGGCTGTAGGTGCACCAGGCCGTCCAGGGAGCCCGGGCCTGCCGGGTATGCCAGGCCGCAGCGTCAGCATCGGCTACCTCCTGGTGAAGCACAGCCAGACGGAACAGGAGCCCATGTGCCCGGTGGGCATGAACAAGCTTTGGAGTGGGTACAGCCTGCTGTACTTTGAGGGCCAGGAGAAGGCACACAACCAGGACCTGGGTAGGTTCCCCCACCTGGCCCCCATGATCTGCTCAGGGCTGGCCTGGAAGTGGCTAAGGTCAAAGGGCCACAGCGAGACTCCCAAACCCTTCACGGCTGATAAGTTCCCTTGATGAAGGGTCCACCCACATTCCTGGAAGTGCAGAAAGATTAAAAAGGCCTTTGAAGCAGAAGCCTTACAAAGCCCTTAAACCTCAGGACCTTAACCCAGGGACCTGCCTTTTAACTTGGTATCGACTTCCGCAGGCTCCCATGTGACCCGTCTGACCCTTGACCCCTCTCCAGTGGAGACCACCAATTACTTCACCTCCTTCTTGCTTTTTGACCCAAGTTCTGTAGACTTGGAGTCAGGCAGGGGCCATAAGGTGCTGGGGTTCATATAAGACTCTCCCATACAGGATCCCAGGAAAATGGACCCATGGACACGTGTGCACGCTCTTATTCAAGGAAGCCTTTAAAAGGCATTAATGTGACTTTGAATACAGAAAACGCAACACACACAAATTACAAGTGAAGGTGGCTTAGTCTGAGGTCCTCTTTGAGGGGGTGACGGGAAGGGTCTCCGGGACACTGGCTGCGTTCTGCCTCCTCAGTGCAGGTTACACCAGGCGTTCTGCCCCCGGAAAGCGTGGAGCTGGCTCATGGCGCCAGCACATTCCTGCCTGTGCGCCCCACTTCCACAATGAGTTTCTAAAGAACAGTGAGGCAAAGGCCACCGAGGATAAGGGCCTAGAATAGATCTGGGAACAGGGCCAAGGAGGCAGGCCTAGCCCAGGCATGTTTGCTAAAGGTGGCTACACTTCTGGGTCTGAGCTTTTCCGTAGTCCCTGTGAAGAGGGAATCATTCACCGTGGCCAGGAGATAAAGGCTGTCTTCGTCTCTAGAAGCAGTAAGGCTACATGGAAGGGAGAGGGGCCAGGGCTCCTTCTGGGGTGGCTCCTTGGGGTCAAAGAGCAACCCCTTGGAGGCCATCAGAGTTTTCTTGGGGCCAGTGCTGTTAAGACCCCACTAAGGTAAGGCTCACCCAAAATGCTATTCCATGAAGACACCACTCCCTGCTGATCCAACTTGGCCCAGTATGTGTGAGATCTTGTAGAAGAACAGAGCTGTTCTGAAATGCCAGTGTAGTCTGTTTGATCAGAAAGAGAAAAAGAAATTGGGAAGCCTTAGCCTGGCCCTCCAGTAGGTGGCTGAACTCCACCAGGTGTCCTGGGACAAGTCTGTGACACGGAGCCTCCTGGGCCTGGCCGGGGCTGGCAGGTGCGTCTTCTAGCCACACAACACTGATCTCATGACCCCTCCTTCCGCAGGGCTGGCGGGCTCCTGCCTGGCGCGGTTCAGCACCATGCCCTTCCTGTACTGCAACCCTGGTGATGTCTGCTACTATGCCAGCCGGAACGACAAGTCCTACTGGCTGTCTACCACGGCTCCGCTGCCCATGATGCCTGTGGCCGAGGATGAGATCAAGCCCTACATCAGCCGCTGCTCGGTGTGTGAGGCCCCAGCCGTCGCCATCGCCGTCCACAGTCAGGATGTCTCCATTCCACACTGCCCAGCTGGGTGGCGGAGCTTGTGGATCGGATATTCCTTCCTCATGGTACGTGGCATTTACCCAGTTCCCCTCCCCAGCCACACCCTGGCTGGGGACACGGCAAGAACCCCTGCCTTTGTAAGAGTAATCGGACAGGGCAGTTCAGGGTGTGCACTGCACGAGGGCACTTGGCCCAGGGAGAGAGAGAGAGCTGGAATACAGCTTACACTTTGCTAGCTGAACCACATGCTGGGCACAGGGCTTCCCCCACCCAGAAAGGGCTCATTAATTTGCCACCAGGCCTTCGTAAGGAGTGTAACCAGGACGAATTTGCCTGTCATCCGTCTTACTAGTATAACACCAACACCAAAGGTACAGTTGCTTTGGGTTTACCAGAAGTCTAAATATATGGAAGACTTTTCTCCAGAATCCTGATCTTATTTAGAATCTATCTGGAACCTTAAATACCTTCAAGAAATACCTATTAACTGTCTGGCTTAAAATGGATATACATTCATGAGGAAAATTCTGGAATACCTTTGGGTATAAAACAGAGAGCCTGTGTACTTTGAAATCCAGGAGAAGGTGCACAACCAGGACCTGGGAAGGTGCCGCCCACCCTGCCAGTTTGCCTTTGGGTATGAAATAGAGAACCCTCAGCTTTGGCCAGATCAGGTTTAGCTTAATCTCCAGGGAAGAGATCACAGCACCGTAGTGTCTTTTGCAATATTAGGTCTTAAAGCAGAGGCTCCTCAACTTGGAGTAGGGTCCCGTCCAGGCAAATTCATTGTAAGATGAAGATACCGTTAAGTTGAAAGTGCATTCTCAATTTATGATGGGTTTATCTGGATGTAGCCCCACCAGAAATCCAATAGTGAATTGAATACATATTGCTTTGGCACCGTCGAAAAGTCAAAACTCATTGAAGTCTAACCATGGCAAATCGGGGACCATCTGTATACTCTTGTAGGGAGAAAAGAGAGTCTTGCTGAGCACAGTGGGTCTTCCATTGAGTTTATTTATAGGGATTATAACTGTCATAACTCCAACTACATGGATCAGATGCCCAGCATGTTAAATATTTCACAAATTATATATATACACAACATAAAATATAAATTACATAATGATTGCTAATCTTTCAAAACAACAGGAAAAAAAAATCCAGATTCTAGGAAAGGAAGGAAAAGACAAACAGTATTGGCATTTTAACAGGTATTGTTGCTATGATAAGTTGGAGCAACAGGATACTAAATCCTGGGCTGGGACAGGCACACATTTTGCCTTTCCAGAAGCATATCATGGAAGGTGACTTTGGAGCAACCTTCTTTTGTTTCACAGTGACCTTCGGGGTGCTCCTGTGTCATGGAGGAAGTAAGCTTTGATTGCTCCTATTTTTTAACTTCCATTGTTAAATTCAAAATAAATGAGCCTCTCGCTTGTGAAGGGCATGATTACACAGTATCCAAAAAGGTCAGGCATCCCCTGTTCCATTAGCAATCAGGTTTCAAGTTACTGTCACGAGATAAGCAGGCATTATCCTGTGCACACATAACTCTCTGCTCAAATAAATGGCTGACAGCCTCAGCAAGCCTGGAACTTGACAGCCCCAAAAGGCATGGGTTGAGATGGCTCCTGTCACCCTGCTGACAGATGCAGGGGTCAGAACAGATGGGCCAGAAGTACCTTGACTTCTGAGAACAACAGAAAGTCCCCACTGGCCCTGACGATGGACACATAAGTGAGCAGACACATCTGTGTACTGGAGATGTGCCCCCTCCAGATGTGTCCTGACTGCTGTCTAGGAGACAGGACCTAAACCAAGACAGCTGTGTGCCTCGTCTGTGCTTTAAATACTCTTTGATCCCTTCCGTGTGGTGACAAGCGTATGGTGCCGCTAGGGCTGCTGGCATCTCAGCATAATGAGAGCTGACTTTGGAGAGGAGAGGACAGCTCGGCTGAGAGCAACTGCCCCACTGTCCCCAGTGGATGCACAGAAGGCGAGAACAGTGCCGAGGCTAGCACCCGGCTCACCCTTCTTTTGTCCATGAGGATAGGTGGCCCCAGAGGATGCATTTTCTGCATTCCCTACAAGCGAGCACCACGTGGGAGGGAGGACGAGGGCAGAGCCCCGGATGCAGACTGGAGCAGCAAAAGTCATTTTCCTCCCCTCCCCTCGGTGGCCTCTCTCAAAGCTGGTCTGGTGGAAGCTACAGTATCTAGCTGGCCGTTATTTTAGTTCCTCTTTTTTCAATTCTGGCTACAATCTGGAGCCCTCACAGCCCCTTCTTCAGGTCAGCCTCTCATCCAGGCAGTTCTCTTAAGATATATGAGCTGCTGTGAGTACCAAAGCCAGAGGCTTGCCCACTGAGAGGAGCACATTGGAAAGAGTGCGTGTGCCTGCACTGTGTGCACTTATGCACGTGTGTGCACAGGGGTGTGTACACAAGCATGTACTGAGTGTGTGTGTACATGCATGGGTGTGCACGTGTGCATTTGTGTGTGCATGAGTGTACACCATGTGTGTGCATGTGTGCGTGTATGCTTGTGTGTGTGTGTGCAGCAAACTCAGCTCTTACCTGGCTATGCCAGCCTCTAAGACTTCACACATTGCGCTCCCTTCTGAGCTCATTCTGGGAGTCCCACGTGTCTGCTTTGGGCAGCTCCTAGCAGGCCTCAGCTCCTTCAGACCGCAGTGAAGCCAGAGGTGCCCGGGAGGACGTCTCCACTTCTTATTACCTGCTCATTAGCAGACAAGAAAGAGCAGGCAGCTCAGGGCTGGACAGGCTTCTGCCTTCTGTGAGCAGAACACTTTTTAAAGGATTTTTGGTTTCTGTGTGTTTAAAGGAAAGCTTAAACTAGGGCCCCTGCCCAAATACATCATAGTACAGCCCCTTTTTCCCGCAAACTGAACTGAGATATTTCTTTTTTTTTTTTTTTATTTGAGATGGAGTCTCGCTATGTCGCCCAGGGTGGAGTGCAGTGGCCGGATCTCAGCTCACTGCAAGCTCCGCCTCCCGGGTTTTTACGCCATTCTCCTGCCTCAGCCTCCCAAGTAGCCGGGACTACAGGCGCCCACTACCTCGCCCGGCTAGTTTTTTGTATTTTTTTAGTAGAGACGGGGTTTCACCGTGTTAGCCAGGATGGTCTCGAACTCCTGACCTCGTGATCCGCCCGTCTCGGCCTCCCAAAGTGCTGGGATTACAGGCTTGAGCCACCGCGCCTGGCCAAACTGAGATATTTCTATTCTGAGTAAACAGATTCCGAAGCCCACTTACCCCTCAAAGCCTGCTCGGCCAAGCCAAATGGCACTTATACACCAACTCTGGGGCCCAGGAGGCCTGCCATGCAGTTCCAGAAAGGCTAAACATGTTGACACAACAGAAAGTAGAACCTTAAAATGAAAAAAAATATATATATATGGCTCCCTTGAAGACCTCACCCACCTCCCAGCCAGCCTCAGGATCAACTAACTATTTAACAACCTCTGATTGAAAAAAAACTTATTTAATTACACAAGTAATACATATTTATTGTGAAAAATCAGCAAGTACAGATTTTTTTTTTTTTTTTTGAGACGGAGTCTCACGCTGTTGCCCAGGCTGGAGTGCAGTGGCGCGATCTCGGCTCACTGCAAGCTCCGCCTCCCGGGTTCCCGCCATTCTCCTGCCTCAGCCTCCCGAGTAGCTGGGACTACAGGCGCCCGCCACCGCGCCCGGCTAATTTTTGTATTTTTTTTAGTAGAGACGGGGTTTCACTGTGGTCTTGATCTCCTGACCTTGTGATCCGCCCGCCTCGGCCTCCCAAAGTGCTGGGATTACAGGCTTGAGCCACCGCGCCCGGCCTCAAGTACAGATTTTTAAAAAAATAACTAAAACCACTTCTCTTTCCTCCCTGATCATCAGCATTTTCAGAGAAGGGGCTGGGAGGCCTGGCTGGGTGATTATTTTTAACTTATTAGCCTCAGATGCTAGCCTACGTTTTATTTTTTTCTTTTAAAAAGAGTAAACATTGTGTTCTCTCTTCTGCCAGGTATTTTTATCTGAATGGTTGATTAGGTAGATGGTTTGTTTTGTTACTGAAATGTCGTCAGTTGCATCTGCGGCTCATACCTGCTGTCCCTGCTCTAGTTCCTACTGAACGGCCAGCCTGGCTGCGAATTAGTGTCCACGCACCTGCCTCCGCAGCACATCCTCGTGCCTGGGGCCGCCTCCTGCAGGGGCCCGGGTGTATTTCACCAACCCCCTCTTGCTGAAGGTGCATTCGTGAGGATGCCGCATGTCCGTATTGACACCGACGGATGGTCATGGTTTGCTGTTCAGTAAAAACACACGCACAGAAGAGGGCTATGCCCTGACCCCGTGCCACCCGCAGCCTGTGATTCCTAACCCTGTCCTGCCCCCTGTCTGTGCAGCACACGGCGGCGGGAGACGAAGGCGGCGGCCAGTCCCTGGTGTCACCGGGCAGCTGTCTGGAGGACTTCCGCGCCACGCCATTCATCGAGTGCAATGGAGGCCGCGGCACCTGCCACTACTACGCCAATAAGTACAGCTTCTGGCTGACCACCATTCCCGAGCAGAGCTTCCAGGGCTCGCCCTCCGCTGACACGCTCAAGGCCGGCCTCATCCGCACACACATCAGCCGCTGCCAGGTGTGCATGAAGAACCTGTGAGCCAGCGCGTGCCAGGAAGGGCCATTTTGGTGCTTATTCTTAACTTATTACCTCAGGTGCCAACCCAAAAATTGGTTTTATTTTTTCTTAAAAAAAAAAAAAAAAAGTCTACCAAAGGAATTTGCATCCAGCAGCAGCACTTAGACCTGCCAGCCACTGTCATCGAGCGGGTGCAAGCACTCGGGACCCCTGCAGGGCAAGCCCTGCCCATAGAAAGCCAGGAGCAACCCTGGCCCCCGTTACCCCTGCTAGACGTGCCGCCTGGAGGCACAGCTAACCACTTCGCACACACCCATGTAACCACTGCACTTTCAAATGCCACAGACAACTCACATTGTTCAACTCGCTTCTCGGGGTGGGATAGACGACACAACAGCACACAGGCAGCCAGCCGTGGCCAGGGGCTCGAGGGGCTCAGGGGCTCAGGCACCCGTCCCCACATGAGGGCCCTGTGGGTGGGCCTGGCCCTGCTTTCTACACCAGTGTTATGCCAGCTCTATGTTCTCCCAAATACCGTTGATGTGAATTATCTTCAAGGCAAAACTGTGCCCTTTATTGTAAAAAACACTGATAATCACATAGCGGTCGGTCATTCTTTTGCCACATCCCTATAGACCATTGGGTTTGGCCAAACTCAGGCGGAAGTGGAGACCTTTCTAGGCGTCATTGTCAGCCCTGCTACTTGAAGGTACACCCCATAGGGTCGGAGGTGCTGTCCCCACTGCCCCACGTTGTCCCTGAGATCTAACCCTCCACTGCTGGGGGTGAGCTGTGCTCTTCTGACTACCCCCTCCTGTGTAACGACTACAAAATAAAACTAGTTTTGAATATTTTTAAACCCCACGTTGCTGACTGCCTTAATCTTATCGTGTTCACAGAGCAAAATGTTTGATGAATGCAAGGCACTGCCTCCACCCATGCTGCTGTTTTTATCCATCTCAGTAGAGTTGAACCCATTCGTGGTATTGCAGCCATTTCTCAGGGAATGTGTTTATGTTTATAGCTCACACCTGTAATCCCAACACTTTGGGAGGCCGAGGCAGGTGGATCACCTGAGGTCAGGAGTTCGAGACCAGCCTGGCTAACATGGTGAAACCCCATCTCTACTAAAAATGTAAAAATTTGCTGGCGCCCATAATCGCAGCTATTCGGGAGACTGAGGCAGGAGAATCACTTGAACCCGGGAGGCAGAGGTTGCAGTGAGCTGAGATTGTGCCACTGTACTCCAGCCTGGGCAACAAAAGTGAAATTCCATCTCAAAAAAAAAAAAAAGAAAAACACCCCAACCAGCACTTGTGGGAATTTGGAGAAAGGGCACTTCACAAATGTATTTCCAAAGTCATTCAATTTGTTCCAACATAGGCTGGGTGCAGTGCCCCACATCTGTAATCCCAGTATTTTGGGAGGCTGAGGTGGGAGGATCACTTGAGCCATAGGAGTTTGAGACTAGCCTGGACAATATAGTGAGACCCCATGTCTACAAAAAAAAGTTCCCACATAACTTCCCAAGTCAAAGCTCAGTATTTCAAAGAAACAGTCTCCAAGATTCAGCTCACAGAGTTTGACTCTCTGAAATGCAAGCTCAAATTGAAGTTTTCCTAAGAAAAATGTTCACATTATGAAATAAGTATCCTACCTTATAATGTAATTTGAAACAGATAAACAGCTGCCGTAGCTCATGTTCCCCCAGAAGCTGGCTGAGGCCAGGACCTCTACAGAGCAGGGCTATGTGGGAAGGTGATTTCAGGAAGCCTGAGTGGGACCTGGAGGGGGAGAAACCAAGAATAAGAAAAGCCAACTCAAAGATGTGAGACTAAGGGGGTTACCAATGTGGATGGTTTAGGCTTGATCCTGCTTGGGATCCACCAAGGAAGGAGCCTCAGATGGTCCAGGCATGGCTTGGAAAGGGAAGTGTTCTCCATCAGCTGTGGTCTCGACTGGTCGGGGGTTGCCTGAGGGTGTTAATTCCCTCACCCTCCCGGGTGCGCCACACACCACCACGGCTGAGCGGGCTCCTGCCAGATGCCAGGTAGAGGTGGTAGAGAACCAGGCAGAGCTGAGACACGGTGTGTCAGGCCACACCTGCACGTGGCCGGTCACCACGGCAATAGCTGCAGCAAAACGGTGGGCCCAGAGCGTGTGAGACGGAGATCAAGAGACCAGAGCTTGCAACCACAGCAACTCTAGAAGCTGGGAAGCAGCAAGTCATTCTAGACTCCACCCCCACTGCCAAGGAGGCAACCACAAAGTATGCTGCGGTCCTGAAGACCCCTGCTCGACTGGGGTAGGCTGGATACCTTGTGTGGTGGTCACACTTCAGCGTCAGTACCCAGTGTTAAACATCAAAGAAATGTTTCACCTTAGACCTAAAATACATGAGAAGACGAAGATCCTCAACACAATTGGTTTCCAAAATGTGGATTATAAAATATAAATCAATCACAATTCATAACCCCGACATCTGTGCCAAGGACCCCACGATCCCGCTGAAGTATAGCGAGTGGAGATGCCTCATCTGGAATCGAACCATTGGCTATCCCACACCTTGAAAATCAGAGCTCTGCCCTTCATGGACCCTGCATGTTGCATAAGACAGATTTTTCCAGGCTAGTTTCTTGGTGCCAGGAATAACTGCCCCCTGAGAGCTGAGCGTGCTTGAACCATCAACTAATGATGTGCCACATTTTCCAGAGAGTGGGTGCCCCAAAGTCAGAATCACTTCTGCCTCCCAGCTGCTTCAGACAGTGACTTTCAGCACCCCTGGCAGAGATGCTGCTGGAATGTGCATAAAAATGCATCTGCAGTCATCCTGACTGGGTAGGGGTACCCAGAAGATTCACAAGCCCCTGGAGAGCACATCAGCCTTTAATCCACCCAAGAAAAGCAAGTTGGCAAGGATGGCCTGGATGGGTTGCTTCAGTGAGCCGGGCCTCCGGTAAAATGCATCGAAGTACCTGTGCATCAGAGTGACGTCAGGAGAATCAGATCAGTCACTACACGTGAACGTGCCTAAGCTGCAGGCATGTATGCACTCGTACGTGTCCAGGACCTAAGAGGAAGGAGGTAGAGAATCGCTGCAACTTGGGAGTTCTAAATGTGTTGAGGTTGAGCACTATGATTTCAAATGCACAGTACAGGGAAGGGAGTAGAATGATTTGGAAAGTAAATTCCACGGCATGCTAGACATGGGAGGGAAGGGTAACACGAGCCACCAGGAGGATCTTAAAGTGACAGACCAAACCCAAGCAGATGTCTTGAAGGCAACGAGGGAACAGCATCCTCACCTCCCACACGTGGTGCAGCAAGAACTTCACTCTGCAGACTCAGGAAGCCACCACGCTGCAAATATCTAGGAGCTGTTTGTATTCATACAGCGTAAGTTCAGCTCAGACAATAAAATGTCAGGCTGTCCTCCCCCTCCCCGCTGAGAAATGCTCAGTGTTTCTGGTTACACCTGGAGGTGGCTTTTCCTTGAGGCCGCCTTCCTGGAAAAGGGCCATCCACTTATTTAAAAAGAAAACCCTGCAGAAGTTTCAGGAGCTCACTGAAGCCAGTAGGGGAAAGGTGCTGTTAATAATATAAGTAATTTGGAAATGAGTGGCGTCTCTAAGACCAAAGGCAAAGAGAACTGCACACAGCATTGTACTCTAGTGGATAAAGTTGTTTCTTGCAGTACTGGTGAACAGTGCTGACACTGCATTCATGCTAAAACTGAACCATTGGTTGGGCACGGTGGCTCACACCTGTAATCCCACGACAGAGAAAGACTCTGTCTCCAAAAAAAAAACAACAACAACAACAACAAAAAACTGAACCATTAATTAAGTGGATGGTCGGTGGGAGCCATGTTTCTTATTGGAGGAGAATTTACAGCAAAGTGGGAAAATGACACAATGATTAGAGTCAGAGATATCAGAAGAACTCAGGTTTAGCCTATTATAGACACCTATAGTCGCATAAAGAAATATCTGTAGGTATGTGTACATATAGGGGTAGGTGTGTGTACATATAGGGGTAGGTGTGTGTACATATAGGGGTAGGTGTGTGTATATATAGGGGTAGGTGTGTGTACATATAGGGGTAGGTGTGTGTACATATAGGGGTAGGTGTGTGTATATATAGGGGTAGGTGTGTGTATATATAGGGGTAGGTGTGTGTATATATAGGGGTTAGTACACACGCATGTATTTCTTTGCTCTGTCAGCTGGGAGGGCCTGAGAGAAGCAGCCCCCAGGAGCAGTGAGCACACCTGGCCCCAGATCTGGGTTTCTAACACTCTTCTCCAATAAAAGGACCCGAGGCTCCTCGGGGAGATGGCTGATTCTGAGACTGGGGCAGGAAATACAGACGATGAGACTGGAACATCTTGTAGTGCCAGAAAGTAAGGAAGTGCTCAAATAAAACCCCAAATGGAGATATGTGGAAGTGACACGGGAGCCATCTGAAAGAGCTCCCTAAGACCCAAGACGAAGCCATCTGAACAAGAAAGTAAGAAAGTGTTAGATAACAACCCAAAGTATAAAATCAATATCCGTAAGTCCATTCTGAGTCCTCAGCCTTCCTCTCTAAGGATGACCTGCTGTTCCCAGCGCCCAGTGAGGTCCTCAAGGCTGGACGGTGTCCGAGGAAGAGCGGCTCATGGGTGGCGTATCTCCTGCACGGCCTGTGCCCAGCTGTGCGGGGCAGCTACGGCTCCGATGTTGATGCACGTGTGTGTGCAGCTGTGCAGTGGCGCGTGTGGCACGTGTGCACCCTCCCCAGAAAAGAAGGACCTTTCCTGCTCCTACACCTCCCCGTCAGGCACGTCTCACAATTCTGCCAAAACCAGGGGAGATGAAAAACGAAATGTCACAAAGACAATGTGCCCTTTTTTTTGAGACGGAGTCTGGCTCTGTTGCCCAGGCTGGAGTGCAATGGCAGGATCTTGGCTCACTGCAGCCTCCACCTCCTGGGTTCAAGCCATTCTCCTGCCTCAGCCTCCCGAGCAGCTGGGAGAGGTGTGCACCACCACACCCAGCTAAATTTTGTTGTATTTTTTAACAAAGACGGGATTTCATCATGCTGGCCAGGCTGGTCTTGAACTCCTGACCTCAAGTGATCCCCTCCCAAAGTGCTAGGATTACAGGCATGAGCCACCCCGCCCAGCCCCAAGGCAATGTGCTTTAAAGCGAAGCTGGCTTTCTCTCTGCCATTACTGAAAAAGGGAAAATCATTGCTTTCTGGCCATTTTTCTCTAGTGGCGGCTTCACGGTGACATCTCTCCGCTGGGGTTGGAGGTGGAAGAGGACAGTCATCTTCCTCCTGTGGTCCAGCCCCTCTGCAAAGGGTCTCCCAGCTGCTTTTCCTGCCTCCCACTCTTCTGTGAAGTAGGAACGATATTCCCCATTTCATAAAGAGATTTTCCCCAAAGATGGCAAATCAACTTGCACAAGATAACACAACACATGTACTCAGGGAGCATTCAAGCCAAACCTCTACACCGGGCTGACTTCCTAAAAACAGCGACCATTGAGCATCAACCATGTGCCAGGCACCCGAGGCACTTCACACAACATGACCTGCGCGGTTCAGAAGCCTCAAAGTGGGGGTCATTTCCGCATACTACCAGAGTCCCTGCACCCGAGGGGTATTTCACAATTTCACTGTACAAGCCCATTTTAATTAACTAAGTTCTTCTCAGAGGCCAGGAACACACACTTAGAGATGGGAGGCTGCAGCTGCAAAGCCACATGAGATGGGGCAGGAGGGGACTGCTGTCTTCCCGAGTTTAAAATACGCCCAGGAGCCCCCTTCCCCCACCCCACCTGCAGATTCACACTTGAGGGGACCTTGCCACATGCACGGGTGACTCAGGGACCTTCTCCTCCCATTCATGGCCAAAGTACAAGAACAAAGGGCAGATGGATGGGGTGGAGCCCGCTTAGAAGATGTGGGTCCCGTGACGACATAAACTAGCCCTAAAGCTGGAGCCATTCCTACAGAGGCCGTTTCATCCTGCATGGGACAGGATCCCGCCTCTCCTCCAGGTGGGACCCAATCCTTTGCCTTAAACTGGCTTATTCTTAACTGTACACTCACAAAAATAATCCATTTTATCTGCAGGATTCCCAGGAAAGGAATTCTTGCATTCGGATTATGAGGACTCTGTCCAGGGGGCTCTCACACCTCCCTCGAAGCAGGGAGAGCTCGCCCCCGGCCATGGGAGCCGCCCGCCACACAGGGGTTGGTGAACGAGGCTGCCATGCAGTGAGGCTGAGGGAGAGGGTTTGAAGGTGCTACTGGGGATGACAGTGACCAGTCCCAGGCCTGCCACCTTCAGACCGAGAGCAGGCACAAGCCAAGTCTGCTCACTTAACTGAGACCAGCTCCCAGGAGACAGCGTTCCAGGCCCCAATGCCTTCTCCCTGTGGGAAAATCTGGATGGGGGATTAAAAAAAAAAAAAGGTAGGGCTGAGGCTTGTCCTGGACCCGTGGGTATCCACCATTTGCAGCCCGATCAACCAAGCCCACCTTTAGGGGAGGAAAGACAGAGCAGCAACCGGAACATGGCATTGAAAGTCTGAGGCTCATATTCCCAAGGCACCACGCCCCAGGCAGGACCTTCCACATATTTTGACATCCCAGGAAAACAGCCATTGTAGACTGAGCTGGGAGGGCCTGGTGAGGAAGTGGGGGGGGCTGGAGCCAAGGCCTGGGCGTGTCTCACTCCGGCCACTGACACCCTGGCCCAGGACACACTTTCTCTGGCCTTGGGTCCGCACATCCTCAAACAAGGTGCCCTCCAGATCTGATCCCTGAGGGCTGGGCCAGTGGGTTCAAGGCAAACACAAAGGGAAGGGGAGGGACACAGAGCTTCATAACCACGCAAGGACGCTTGCTCTGAAGGCATCTGCTCTCCCTGAAGGAAGCAGCCTGGACCAAAAGGGAGGACTGGGCCGAAGAGCTTCCAGAGCAGGTACAGAGGAGGCTGAGTGCAGGCGGTATTCTGTGTGTGCAGCGTCTCGGCTGTGCGTGCAGGGTCTCGGCTGTGAGTGCAGGCGGTATTCTGTGTGTGCAGGGTCTCGGCTGTGTGTGCAGCGTCTCGGCTGTGCGTGTGTGCAGGGTCTCGGCTGTGAGTGCAGGGTCTCGGCTGTGAGTGCAGGGTCTCGGCTGTGAGTGCAGGGTCTCGGCTGTGTGTGCAGGGTCTCGGCTGTGAGTGCAGGGTCTCGGCTGTGTGTGCAGGGTCTCGGCTGTGTGTGCAGGGTCTCTCCACTGTGTGTGCAGGGTCTCGGCTGTGAGTGCAGGGTCTCGGCTGTGAGTGCAGGGTCTCAGCTGTGTGAGCAGGGTCTCTCCACTGTGTGTGCAGGGTCTCGGCTGTGTGTGCAGTGTCTCGGCTGTGTGTGCAGGGTCTCAGCTGTGTGTGCAGTGTCTCGGCTGTGCGTGTGTGCAGGGTTTCGGCTGTGAGTGCAGGGTCTCTCCACTGTGTGAGCAGGGTCTCAGCTGTGTATCCACCCCACCGCACCCAGCCCCTCTGTCCTGTTTCAACAGTGAGGCTCGAAAGATCCAGCTCTGCGAAGTGGGAGGATGGAAGACCGCTGCACACTGTGGAGAAGAGGCTGTGCTCCTAATAAGGGCACGTAAGAGGACGAGGGGCACAGGCCACCCTGCCTGGCCACAGAAAGGAAGATACGAGCCGGACTCCACCAACCAGGTCTGGGAGGATCTGTGCCTTTGAAATCCTCCAAACACCCGGAGGCCACCCTACTGCACTTCCACCAGGGTCTCTGGGTCCGGGTCCCACTCTTCTTCCTCCTTCAGAGGTTTGTGGTCATTGCTCAGTAGGGACTCAGCCTGGTTAGAGTCTCCTAGGAGCACGGAGTGAAGGCCCAGCCCACAGCCATTGCCCCTTCTCTCTGGAAGACAAGTACCATCTCCGTGTCTCATGGGGTCTGTCTCATGGGCCTTGAGCAGCAGCTCGCCTCTGCTGGAGAGATCCATGTGCTGGGAGCACCCGTGTGCTATGGGGATCCGAGTGCTGGGAGGGACCCATGTACTGGAGGGACCCGTGTGCTGGCGGGAACTGTGTGCTGGGGGGACCCATGTACTGGAGGGACCCGTGTGCTGGGGGGAACTGTGTGCTGGGGGGACCCATGTACTGGAGGGACCCGTGTGCTGGGGGGAACTGTGTGCTGGGGGGACCCATGTACTGGAGGGACCCGTGTGCTGGGGGGAACTGTGTGCTGGGAGGACCCATGTGCTCGGAGGACCTATATGCTGGGGGGATCCATGTACTGGGGGGATCCGTGTGCTGGGGAGATCCGTGTACTGGGGGGATCCATGTGCTAGAGGGACCCGTGTGCTGGGAGGACCCGTGTGCTGGGGAGAACCGTGTGCTGGGGAGAGCCGTGTGCTAGGGGGATCCGTGTGCTAGGGGGACCCGTGTGCTAGAGGACCCATGTGCTGGGGGGACCCGTGTACTGGGGGAATCTATGTGCTAGAGGAACCCGGTGCTGGGGGGATCTGTGTGCTGGGGGGGGGCCGTGTACTGGGGGGCACCGGTGTGCGGGGGGATTCGTGTGCTAGAGGGACCCATGTGCTGGGGGGAGCCCATATGCTGGGGGGATCCATGTGCTGTGGGGAGCCCATGTACTGGGGGGCACCCGTGTGCTGAGGGACCCATGTGCTGGGGGGAGCCCATGTACTGGGGGGATCCATGTGCTGGGGGGAGCCCATGTACTGGGGGGCACCCGTGTGCTGGGGGACCCATGTGCTGGGGGGAGCCCATGTACTGGGGGGCACCCGTGTGCTGGGGGACCCATGTGCTGGGGGGAGCCCATGTACTGGGGGGATCCATGTGCTGGGGGGAGCCCATGTACTGGGGGGCACCCGCGTGCTGGGGGATTCATGTGCTAGAGGGACCCATGTGCTGGGGGGATCCATGTGCTGGGGGGAGCCCATGTACTGGGGGGCACCCGTGTTCTGGGGGGATCTGTGTGCTGGGGGGAGCCCATGTACTGGGGGGCACCCATGTGCTGGGGGGATCTGTGTGCTGGGAACATTCATGTGAGG